AAAAAGAAATTAATTAAGAAAATAGAAAATTAAATAGTAAAGAAATAAGAAAAAGAATGTTAAAATATTAAAATGTTTTTTGTGTAGAAAATAGTTTAAGTGATAATAATTAATTAAAACCTAATTGTTTCTAATTAATTTTTAATATTAAGAAAAAGGTTAATTAATTAATTAATTAATTAATAAAAATACATCAAGAATTTAATTACTAATTAAAAACTCTAATCCTAATTTGTTAAAGTATTAAAAAGAGATTAGATTAAGTAATTGTTAATTATAAAAGAAATTAATAAAATATGGTGAAAATAAATTAGGGTTAGTAAAAAAGAAAAGAAAAGAAAACTAATTGCCTGGGGTGGGTGTTAGTTTGACCTGAAAACACTTGTATCGTGAGATTCAATGAAAATAACTCAAATTGCCCTAACAATGGAAGATCCTTATTCCTGCGTCAAAGCTTGCAAACAATGATTCTAAACATCATTATAAACAGGTATATATGCATAAAATTAATCAACAACGCATGAATTATGAGTTTGAATTTCAAGAATATTACCCAACCGACGTGACTTGATGTGGTTGTTGTGGATGTAGAATTGCTTCAAGGATGATTGAGATGGACTCTTGAGATCTTCAAGAACACAATTAAATGCTTAGAATGGATTGCAAGAGGCTGGAGACAAGATTTTCAAGTTGCCCTAGTTTTGACAAAATTTGAGATTTTCAGGACTTGTTCTTGAGGCAATTTTCGTGTCCCTCTTGGTCTGAAGATGTCATGTATTTATAGTGGAAGATTTAGGTAAAAAAAGTGAATCAAATCTTTTGTATTTCATGATCAAATATTTCATGATTTGAATTTTATGATCAAATATTTCATGATCGAATATTGATGAAATTACAAAAGATTTGAATTTCATGATCAAATATTTGATTGAAGTTTTGCATGAAATCTTTCTTTTTTAGGAAAATCTCATACCAATCAGATTTTTTCTAGCTGGCCATGAGCTTTTTATACTTATGATTTGATTTAAAAATAGATTCTCATACCTCATATAATTTATTTGGTATTTTATTTGATTTATTTTTCTTTTAATTGAATAAAATCAAAATAAAAAGAAATAAAAACCACAAAAATAAATGTATGGGTTTAGGAGTCTATTATGAGGTCAGGACTATGTTTGGACCTTAAAATATAGGCTCATTAGCTTAAAAATTCAAATTTGCACAATTTGGACTTCATGCAATTTCTCAAAATTGTCCAACTTGCACCAACCCTAACTCACTCCATTTTTATCATATGAAGGTAATCTTGGACTTTTTGGAAATATCAAGATGTCCCCTATAACCTTCATGTTGGTCATGTTTTCATTTGAAGCCTTTATCTTGATGTAACGCGCTTTGATAAAAAGTGTCTTTTGTTGACTTTTAAAATGACCTGTAATGTTTTGGCCCATATCTCTCAAATGAATCATTTTTGGCCTTGGCTTAGAGAGACAAAGTTGCAGAGAATTGAATTTACTTCAAGATAGGCCTTGGTTGAAAATTTTCTGATGAGGTATGTGAAATTTATGCTTGGTCAAAATTTAGTTGACTTTTCTTAAAGAAAACCCTAATTTAGTAACTTTTGACTTTTGATGAATCTTGAGTTTTCTTGATGAATCATGATCAACCTTTGATCATATGATGAATGTGACTTAAAAATATTGATGTTGACCAAAAATCTTGAAGTTTGACTGTAAGTTGGTCAAAGTTGACTTTTTGTCCAATACAGTTGATTCTCAATCATCTTGCTAATTGACTGAGCAAACTTGTGCTACAATGCTTGAAATTTGGTATGAGGATTCTTTAGGACATATGAGAAACCATGAAATCTATTTGAGTCATTAGAAGTCCAATTTTCCTTGAGAAAAACAAAACCCTAGTTGTAGGTCAATGCTTAGGAGAAGGATTTGTCTGATCAATCTTTGAGTAGTCTTGAGCAATTGAGAACCCTTGGAACATGAGGAGGTATCTTCAATTTGTCTTGAATAATTGGAGAGAAAATTTGGGGGTACAATAGTCTTTAAGTTAAACAAATAGATAATACTATCTTCATTTCTCAAAGCAAGTATGCTAAGAGCATAGTGAATAAGCTTGACCTAGAAAATGCTAGTCACAAAAGAACATATGCAGTAACACACTTGAAATTGACTAAGGGTGAAAAAGGTGTTAATATGGATCAAAGTTTGTACAAGAGTATGATTGGTAGTATTTTGCATCTTACATATAGTAGATCAGACATCACTTTTATTGTAGGAGTATGTGTTAGATATCAGGCTGAGCCTAAAATTAGTCACATTACTCAAGTGAAGAGGATCTTGAAATACATCAATGGTACTAGTGATTTTGGCATGTTATATTCCCATAGTATTAATTCCATGCTTGTAGGGTATTGTGATGCAGACTGGGGAGGTAATATTTATGATAGAAAAATCACTTCTGAAGGATGTTTCTTTTTCAGAATAGTCTTATATCTTGTTTCAATAAGAAGCAAAATTGTGTGTCCTTGTCTACAGCTGAGACTAAGTATATTGCAGCAGGAAGTAGTTGCTCTCAATTGATTTGGATGAAAAAAATGCTAAAAGAATATAATGTCAAACAAGATGTCATGATATTATATTGTGACAATCTGACTGAAATCAATATATCCAAGAATCATATTCAATATAGAAGGACAAAACATATTGACATTCGTCACCATTTTATTAAGGATCTTGTTGAGGACAAAATTGTTACTCTTGAGCATGTGGCCACTGAGAAGCAATTGGTGGATATATTTACTAAGCCTTTGGGTGCAAATCAGTTTTAGAAGTTAAGGGGAGAATTAGGAATTTTCACTGTTGAGGAGTTATATCAATTATAGGTGTGGAGGAGTGCAACTAATACTTTCTCTTCCCTCTATGTAGTGGTGCACAAAAATTCAAGACAATCTAGTTTGTATGTTGCTGTTAATAACACTACTGATAAAAGTGTTCACGTGTCTCTCTATAAAATTTTGGTTGCTGACCATGAGTCTGGTGTTCTACCAGATGTCGCAACATCCTTGGACCTAACCTGATCATCCTATCGAAACCACACAAGAAAACTCTCATGGTGAGTCTGACGATGAGTCTGTTCCTATTGAGTCTCCTGAAAAATCTCAAAAGGATGTGTTTGCAGATGAATTAGTTTGAGGTAAGAAAGATGAGTCTGATGTTAGTAGTATGTCTGTTGAGAGTGAAAAAGTCCAGTCTGATAAGGAAGAATGTTCTGGTTTGAAGAAGCATAAATCTACTGACATTGTTAATGTTGATGAAGGAGATTACTAACTATTGTGGCTCTAAGGTGGTATAACTTTTTTTTATAAATATTAGGGATTTAATTTTTATGTTTTCAAATATTTGTCTCCCTCGATCACATTGTCGCCTTCAAAATGAACTAGCTTCTAGGTGAACTTTGACTGATTCATCAAAAGATCCCTATAGCTATCCAAGTAAATTTTATCATAGTAGATAAGTTTTTCACTTTGTTGGAGGTCAACAACAATTTTCTTTTTGTCATTCCTTTTCACGATCAAGCTTTGGCCTATACTAACCATCCTAACTAATCATTAACTACATAAAGAATTAGGATCATATATTGAGAGATAATGGAGTATATGGTATGGACTCGGATTTCAACAAATCGTTAGATGGTCTTAGTGTTGTAATTCCAAATTTTAACCTTACCAATTTTACTAGAAAGGAAATTGTACCTCCTAAAGCACAACATGTTTTGGCGAGTTCTCTTTTTAGTAAAACTATTAAGGACATGGATGTAAAGTTTGACAATAATATTTAGGGCCTTTTTGTTTTATCTTTAAAAATGGATTTTGTAAAATCGTTTTTCAAAATATTACAAGTTTTTTATTTATTATATTCGTTTGTTCTAAATTAAAAGACTAATTTTTATATTCTATAACATAAACATATATTATTGAAAATCAAAACATATTTAAAATCGCAATTTATTTAAAAAGTTGTATTTTAAAAGTGATTTTTATGAAAAGCTATTTGAAATAGCTACAAAATTAAGTGATTTTTTAAAATTTTGATATCTAAATTTTTTTTCAATAAAATAATAAAATATTTAAAATAACATTTTAAAAATAACTATTAAAATTTATTTAAAGATTTTATAAAATGTTTCTTTGAATTTTTTTTAGACAAAATTATATTACATTATAAAATTCATTTAAAAAAAAAACTAAAACATACCAGCCATTAGTACGTTAGGGATGTATCTCTAAAAATAAAAAAGATTTTTAACTTTTCCCCAGATATTTGAAAGTATATATATATATATATATATATATATATATATATATATATATATATATATATATATATATATATATATATATATATATATATATATATATATATATATATATATATATATATATAAAAGAAAAATAATAATGTATTGATAGTGTAAATTAATTTTATATTGTCAACCAATCACAATTTTGTATCACAATAAATTATATTTTAATTTTAAATTTTTTTTAATAACAAGATATTTTATTAACTTTTTACTAGATGGTCTTTTAATAACAAGATATATGAAGAATGATATTCTTATTCAAAGAATAAGTTTATAATAGTTATTTTAAATTTTAACATTTGATTTTCATTAATATAACGGATTTAATTAATGACTTAATCTATTTAAATTTCATAAGCATGTACATTTCACTTTTTTTTTTTTTTTTAAATAAAATAATTATTTTTTCTGTGTATCGTTCTTCTTTCGTTTTCATTGTTCTTCTGGTTCGAGTTTCCACTTCTATACCAAAATTTCCTGCGTTTTCCGCTATTTTCAATTTCTCCAGAATTTCTACAGCTGATTTTTCTCACTCGTTTCACATCAAAACTCATCCCTCACCGAATTTCAACTCTTCCATAAAATCCCATTCAATAATTCCCAAAACCCTAGCTCATTCCATGGCGTCAAAGAAAAAACAATCGGAAGGTATCGCTTTGTTGTCCATGTACAACGACGACGGTGACGACGAAATGGAGGACGCCGAAGAAGAAGACGTGATTCGCGAGGAACATCAAGATGACGCCGCTGAACAAGCGGCGGAGGAAGATTTGGCAGCCGATACGGATAGAATGACGGTTGCTGATTCCGGCAACGAAGTCTCTGACGGTTTTACTCCGACGGATAAGAGTAGGACTCCACAGGTGAACAGGTTGTTTTCACCGCCGCAGGAGCAACATAAGGTGGAATTGAGGATTAGTAAGAGTGCAACTCTTACTATAGTTGATTATGGCCATGATGAAGTAGCAATGTCACCTGAACCTGAGGTACTTCCTTTTCTTTGATTTTTTACCTTCTTTTTAGTTAGATTATATTCTGCAATGTAACTAGTGGGTGTTAGTTGTTTTTTGTTGCAGGAAGGAGAGATGGATGGTAGTGGTCGAGTCGTGTTTGGGGAGGAACTTCATGTAACCAATGGTAAATTGAATTTCTGTGTCATTTATTATAATTGCTTGGAAATTGGAATGTGAACTTGAATTGGGAATAATTAATAGGAGTTTTATATTCGATTTTCAGAAGTAGCTATTGCTTTGTTGTATTTGTTCGATTTTATTATTATCGATTTAGGTTACTTTATTTATGTCTAGTTTAACATGTTACTGCAGGTGATTTGCTAGATAGAATACCATCAGGAGCAGTCCAGGTTTTGTCACCTGACAATCAAGCTAACACTCCCCAATTATTGGAGATATTTAAATCTGATACCTTGAATAATGACGATGTGATTAGACCTGATGATGTAGAGATTGGAGAAGCAGATCACGATGAGCATAAATCTGAAGATCCATTGAATAAATTTCTTCCTCCTCCACCCAAAGTTAAATGCTCCGAGGAATTACAAGTAAGTTCTGTTAAAATGGTTTTAATAACTGTAGTTGATGAATGCCATTTGAGTACATTGTAAAGAACCTTGCAATTTCTGAATTATGGTCTGACTTGGTCCAATCTAGCATAACATGACATTGTCTTCACTGCCAACAAATTCGATATAAAATGGTTTTAGCAATTAGAGGGAGGTGCTCAACTTTTTTACCTTATTAAGTACTATTAACTTTCTCTGCTTGTTAGCATCTGTGCATTTCTTCCTGGACATGATTATAAATTATAATATACTTACGTTGCTAGTTAAAATTATTTGTTTCTCACTAATCAATATTCTGGATTTGAAGTTGTGATGTTCACTCAGTGTGTTTGATATTGCCTTTCTTTTTGGCTATGCTGAAATGTAAGATTAACATATCTGACTTGCGAAATCCTAAATGACATTTTATTGTTTGTTTTAACTATTTGAAATTAAGATCTTATTTTCAACAGTAAATTTGCTAATCCACATGCCTCTATCACTGAAATATAAAGTATTACTGTTTGTTTCTATTAACCTTTCCAATTTAGCAAAGGGGGGAGAAAGGAAAATAATGCTTTTACTTCTACCCACCTTTCTAATAGTTCCATATCTAGGTGAAGCTAAATCACGTTGGAAACCATGAAAAAGGATTGGGACAGTTGGATCCATATGAGAGTGTTGTTGGGCCTAAGGTGCGGTGGGTCAGGGTAGACTATAGGAAACATGCAACTAAGAAAAATAATGCCAAAGGTATTGACATGGCAGAGGAAGAGAGCCATTTGGCTGGGCTATTTGACATTGTTCTATCAGATTTTCTTTTTCTTTCTCTTGTATTTTTCCTTGTTCATTAATACAGATTACAAGTTATCTAGTATTTTAATCTTTTATCTTGTTTCAAATTACAATCCAACTCTTTTTCCTAGGCATGGGACCGATAATGTAATACAAGATATGATAATATTTATTGCATCATGCGATTCATACAATTGACTGCATCTATTGGAATGGAAAAGTGCTCAAGTGTTGTTGCAATCAAGTAAAGCTTTATGTTCTATGTAGTGGGTAGGAATAGGTTGTTTGTAAATTGAATCTTTTGCTTTGGTGGTTTTGTAACTTTTTGACTTTGAATTTATTTTCCCTTGTCTATTTCCATCATTGCCTTTAATTTGATGTTAATGCAGAGAAAAATAAATAAATTTCTGGAGTATAAGAAGGCTGGAAAGAGTTTTAATGCAGAAGTTCGCAATAGGAAGGACTACCGAAACCCTGACTTCTTACTGCATGCTGTGAGGTACCAGGATATTGATCAAATAGGGTCTTGCTTTAGTAAAGATGTATTTGACCCTCATGGATATGATTCAAGTGACTTCTATGATCAAATAGGTCTGTAATTTCCTCTTCTCTCCCTCTTTTTATCTCAGTGTTATTGGTATTTGTGTGTTATTTTTTGTTCCTGTTTTCACCGTAATTAATTTATTAAATAGATCACACACTAATTGTAGTGCTTGACATGTTTATTATTTCATATATATTTGTTTTCCACTCAGAATTAGGCTATTGATGGCTGCTTATTCCCATAAGCTTACAGCTGATTTAAAGTATATAATATTGCACGCGTCTTCTATATTTTGGATTCTCATATTATAATTCTTACTTTTTTGTTGTAGAACTGTGATAGGGATCCGAAATTAAGATAACTGGAAAATGTATTATTGATTGAATTAAGAACTATTACAGAGAATGATCCCTTTAATTCCAGAGCAAGTGCTCCTCAGAGGAGAGATGATTCTCTCTGCTCATCCCAAAAGGTTCCTAACAAAAATCATATTGAATGCCTTCTGCCTTGCTATTTGTGTCCTTATATAACTACCCTTCTCTTCCAAAAATGCAGTCATTTTCTTTCATATATTTTGCAAGAATCTGGGTTAGCATTGCCTTGTAAAATTGTTGCTACCAACATGCTCTGTGACCATATAAGGTACCCCTACTCCTTGCAATACAAACGCTTGAGCTTAAATCATTTGCATCACTGTTTTGCCTCATAAATCCCATTATATTTCTTCATTTGCACTGTTTCTTACATTTTTAACGATAACAGCTGTGTTGCTTGGGTTTCCTTATCTGCCCCACACCTCTCCACATACCAAGTACAAAGCACTTGCTCAAAAGAAACCATTGGTCCATGACCCCAATTAAATTCGAGAGGCCTGTCTGAAATAGAAATTAAACCAACCCACTTTTCAATTCCTTTCTCCCACTTACTAGATTTATTATGGGCTTGATCCAATAGGGTTAGACTTTAGAATGTTACCCAACTTACATATTATCCATTTTGCCCCTATTTTTTCTAGAATACTCTTTAGGTTTGAGATTGCAATTTTTGCCCCTAGTTTCTCTAGATCCTTCTCTTCCTGAGTAGTGATGAAATGCACCTGATATGCTTTTACACAAAGGGACTCAGATGAGATGATTTTGCTCCCAGACGGAAACAAGATAGCTACCGCCAAGGTAGTAAAAAACGAGTGCTGGGTCGTAAGATCGTAAGATCTTACTTGCTGGGGAGGGAAATTAGTGCTAGGATCTGGGAAAGATCGTTTTTGGTTGCTGCCATAGTCAAGATCGAGTTTTTTTAGTAAGTTCGTAAAAAAAAATAGGGCTGAGCCTTTTTTTGGGCTTTTAAACTGGGTCGTTTTTTTCAAGTGAAAACCAGTTTTTATTTAACTAACATTCCTAACCCTAAAACAAAACAGAACAGAAACGACGCTCTTCTCATTCCCTTCACGAAAACTTCTGCTCTTCATTCTCTTCATCTTCACGAAAACTTCTGCACTTCATCCTCTCCATCTTCACGAAAACTTCTGCACTTCATCCTCTCCATCTTCAACTTAATCATCTTCAACTTAGATGTTTCTTCCATTGTTGAAGATGATTAGTCTTATTTGTTATATTTATGTTTTTTGAGCTATTTATGTTGAACTTGATCTTTTAAGCTTATCAAATTATGGAATGATGGTAATGAATTATTAATTAAATTAGTTGAAAGTTGTGATTTATAAGTTATTTTGTTCATGTATTATAATTTTCATGTTTTTGTTCATGTGAATTTACCATTTTGTCCGTCAGTAAGATCTTAAGTGTCGTGCTACGATCCTAGCTTTACGATTTTTCACAGGCCGTCCGATCCTACTTAAGATCCCGTGCTTGACTACCTTGGCTACCGCCGACTATTGAGAGCTAATACCTTGTAAACCTGCATCCGCCGGTTTAGGTGGTGGTGGAATTGTGATCCGGCCTCCCACAAATATTACCGTGGTCTGGCCCAAACAAAACCGTCACCGGTGGAGCAAAGATTAGTAGCTCCGACAAAGGTAGATCCGGCGGCTCCGTTAGAGGTTGTGGCTCTTACTCTAGATCCATAACCATGTCCATTTTCCTTCGTCTTTCAACATAGTTGAATCTCGTGTTGGAATTTCCGCCTTCATTGTGGTCCGCCCCTAGTAGCCTAAATTGCGGCATTTGACTTGCCTTCATTGCAACTTCCAACACATTCATTGTGTTGGGTTTGAAGGGGTGGATTTAGTTCCACATTCTTAGAGATATAACATGTGTTGTGTTTATAAGTGGGAGCAATCCTCTCCCTACAAGCCGGTTTTGTAGGGATGAGTTAGGTCCAATCCAAACGTTCTAAGATGGTATCAGAGCCTATCCTAAATCACTTGTTGAGATACCCGCATCGTCCACACTCCGGCCTCATTGAGGCTCAAGCATGAGGGTGTGTGTTGGAATTTCCGCCTTCATTGCGGTCTGCCTCTAGTCGCATAAATTGCGGCATTTGGCTTGCCTTCATTGCAGGCTCCAACACGTTCATTGTGTTGGGTTATAAGGGGTGAATTTATTTTCCCGAGAGATATGACATGTGTTGTGTTTATAAGTGGGGGCATTCTTCTCCCTACAAAAACGGATGAGTTAGATCTAATCCAGACATTCTAAGATGGTATCAAAGCCTATCCTAAATCACTTGTTGGGCTACCCGCATCGTCCACACTTTGGTCTCATTGAGGCTCAAGCGTGAGGGGCTGTGTTGGAATTTCCTCCTACATTGCAGTCCGCCCCTAGTCACCTAAATTGCGGCATTTGGCTTGCCTTCATTGCAGTCTCCAACAAGTTCGTTGTGTTGGGTTTGAAGGGGTGAATTGAGTCTCTCATTGCTTAGAGATATGACATGTGTTGTGTTTATAAGTGAGAATAATCTTCTACCTACAAGCCAATTTTGTAGGGGTGTGTTAGGCTCAACCCACACAGTCTATGATCTCGATATGAACTTCCACAGTGCTTTGTCCTCGGTCTTTTCTGAGGCAACATTAGGACAGTCACTGGATGTATCACGCGTCGAGGAAGATCCACTGCAGATAGACCAGTGTTCTGCGGCTTTGAATCGAGAAGGATAATCAGAAGTGAAACTGATAGTGGCAGACTCAACAAAGGTCGCAAGCTGTGCATGGCTTGTTCCTCCACAATGTTGTCTGGTTCCATCGTTTGTTTCTGATTCTCCCCACGTCTTTCTTTTCCGACATTGCATCTGTTTGGAATTTCGTTCCCCAATGCTCTTTCCTTGTTATCAGAAACACACTCCAATTAAAGCTACGATTCTCTGACGGAATATCCCCAAATGCTTCATTATCTCTGTTCTCAGCAATTGACGAAACTCCAACTTAAAGGATTTGACAAACTCCTCCAATATTCTCATTCTCGCTTCAATTGTGTCAATTCTCCCGGGGCAGTGCTTCTAACATTTTTTCCTCAATCATCTTGAAATGACACGAATGCTGGCACCTCCTCGATAATCTGGTAGGTTGGACCAATGGTAGGAATTTGAAATTAAGATAACTGGTTAATGTATTATTGGTTGAATTAAGAACTATTAAGAGAATGATCCCTATAATCTCAGAGCAAGTACTCCTCAGAGGAAATCATATTGAATGCCTTCTGCCTTGCTATTTCTGTCCTTAAATAACTACCCTTCCCTTCTAACATAAGCAGTTATAACCAATCCTCTATTAAGCCTCTCTATTGGGCTAAGGCCCAAATCCGGTATCCTATCAAACTGTTTTCCTATTCTCAAGATATCTCATGTTAGAGTAATTATGATAAGCTTGGTGAAGTACAATTGATCATTCTACATACTCTTAATATCAGTAAATTAGATAAATCACGACATCTTTTGCTGCATTACTTAATGATGCCTCTGATATTTTTATTTTACTCTCATCCTGTAAGACTTATCTTTAATTTGCTTTCAGATTTTCCTGAGTTATTATTAGTTACTCAGCTGTGCCAGCCGGCACCTCTATTTCAGTTTGTTAGAGTTAGTTACAAAGGGTGTATGTTAATCTCTTGATGAATGTAGGATAAGAATCCTATATAAACTCCTGTACTATTTTCTTTTATAATCAATAAAATAAGAGAATATTCTAGAATGGTTTTATGAATGTATCTCGAATAACATTTCTAAAACATCCCTTTCCCCTCATTACAAGTTTGGTTAGTCTTGACTTGCAAACCAATATATGCTTAGTTTAAGCTTCTGTTCTCAGCTATGAAGCAGACTCTGACACGGACACCGGGACACAACACGACATGGACACTCTGACACCGATAATTTTAAAAAGCTAGGACACCGACACCGCTACATATATGATAGTATTTGACCTTTGTTTACCCTTTTATACTTAAAAATGTGAAAAATATTCTAATAAAAGTTCATGTCTTTAATCTTTCATTGATAACATTACTTCAATACATATTTAATCTTTTTAGATTTTAGATGTGCATGAGAATTGTTTTAGAAAAATGTATAAGGTGTGTTAAGCAAAGACATAAACAATTTTTTTTTGAAACACTTGTCTAAATTATTCGACACATATTGTATGAGTGTCGCAAAGAATTCGTTTCAAAAAGTGTCGAAGTAAAGAAAAATGCCTATTTTGTTGGGACACTTGTTTGACTTTTGCGACACTTGTTTGACTTTTCCGACACATGTCGTACAGGTGTCATACAAGTGTCGGACAATGCGACACACCTACTTCTAGAGATGTCCGTGCTTCATAGTATGTCATGATTTTAGCATGATCCATTGCATGCAATTAATGATTAGTACTAATTAGTTAAGTGAATATTGCAAGTACTTTTCATATTTCAACTATTTTATTGTTATTAATGTTAGTGATGTTGCAGTCATCGCTGATTTTTAAATTACTTTCCCCATTTGCTTTTGTTTCTTATCTTAAACAAAACAGAAGCTGATATGAGGCGGGAAAGTGATAGGAAAGAGCAAGAGAAGAAGAAACCACAAAACCAGAAGGTTGACTTTACTTCTGGTGGTACACAGCCAGGAATTGTGCTTGGTGCTCCCAGGATCAGCATGCCTGTTACAGGTATAGAATCACCTAGTTTTTTTGTGCAGTGCCGACGCTTTTGTTTAGAAGTCATTTTTCAATAGATGTTCCATTCTTATGGCGCTTTGACGTTGACTTTTGCATAGGCGGTTCTGCTGCAACTACAGGTGGTTTGCATTTGGTGCCTCCTCCAGCGGATTCTATTAACCGAGATGGTAGACAGAACAAAAAATCAAAATGGGATAAGGTATTTATATAATCAAATGCAAATGCAACTTCAGTGGCACTCATCATCTTTATGCTTACTAAATTCTAGTGAATGACAGGTGGATGGTGATCGAAAAATTCCTCTGCCCTCTGTGGGGCAGGATTCTGTATCTACAGCAGGGGCTCATGCAGCAGTTTTATCTGCTGCTAATGCTGGCAGTGGATACATGCTATTTGCGTAAGTTGATCAACAACCTTGAGCATTTTGGTTTGGCATGTGTTCTTGTTGAGACTTTTCTTAGTATGTTTTGCCTGTTAACATTTTGAATACTTAACATTTACTTAAAGATAGCTAAAGTCTAAAGCAACTTTGTTGTTCCCGTGTCAGCTTTGTATTCTTTCAAAAGTTTAAACTGTTATCAATACATGCAATATTCTTAGTGCACTCAACAACAACAACGACAATCAAGACTTATCCCACTAAATGGGGTCAGCTACATGAATCAAATTACGTCATAATGTTTTATCTAATACCTTGTTTCTATTCATTTTGTGAATTTCAAGATCTTTCGTAATTGTTTTTCTCATAGTTTTTCTAAGTCTTGTTCTACTTCTACTTGTTTGACTACTCTTCATTTGACCTAATCTCCTTACAACAAAATCCACATGTTTTCTCTCCACGTGTCCAAACCACTTAACCATGACAAATTGAATAGTTTCACTTTAAATTATTTATAAATTCTGTTTTCTATTTAAAAGAATTTGCTAAAGATTCTGTTTTACCTCAGTTTGATTTCACTTTTCTTTTGTTTAACACCTTGCTTATTGTCAATCTTACTTCATAAACTTACGAGTAACTTTTAGTTACTACAAAATTAAACTAAATGTTGATAATACAATTACCACTGTTATGCTCTCGTACAGGCAGCAAAAACGGCGAGAGGCAGAGGAGAGAAGATCTAGTGAAAGGAGGTTGGAAAGAAGATCGTGAGACATTATTTTGGTCTGTTGTAACATTGTTGTAAGTGGGGGTTGAGATTTTTCTGCTTTGCATTTGCAGCATGGATGATATACACTGTATATTCTCACAAAAAAGAAATTTACTGAGTCAGCTGGTCTTGATCCTTTATTCTTATGTGACAGCAGGATCTATTATTTATAAAAAAATTCCTATGAAGTAGTTGTTCTTGTGATCCCTCGGGTTGATTGGTTGGGGCTTGTGTTATATGTCTCATTGGTAGCATATTTTATTAGTTTATTAGTAGTGTTGCCTTAAGGAGGTTGCTCTTCTCATCCTTAGGAGTGAAGAGTCATTTTATGAAAATTCAAAATTGTCCTTCACTAATTTGGAAGTATATTTTGTGACGCATCTTATATATATAGCGTAATATTTTATAACTCTCATTTTATAAAATAAAAAATAGTCTGATAGTATATTTCGGAGAGACAAGAATCACATGAATTGGATAAATGTGGTAAACATTAACTTTCTTGCATCTATGTTTTAATTAACAGTTAATTTGCATAGTATACAAACTATTTTTTGGACCTAGTTGACGGTTACTATCAGGAAATAATTGGTGCATAATACAACGAAAAAGAATATTTGTGACAACTCAATATGGAGAGCACAATTTATGGTAATCGCTCAACATTATGTGGTCTTTCGAAGCAGAACTACAAAATGTGTATGCTACCTTCTCTATGAAGGTGTCTCACAATTAGGCGGAAAAAATAAGCTGCACCGATTAATAGGGATTTACGGTCTAGTTTATATTAATTTACAATATTAGTTTACACAAGTTCACGTTAGTTCAGATTTTTTAAAAAATAAATATAGGTTCTTTGATAAGTCTGTTTAGTTAAACATGATAAATTTCAGACTATAAAAAAATCTTTTAATTCTATTAGGTCAACCTATTTAAATAAATATGAAAAATTTATTATTATTATTATTATCATGTTATATTTTATATTTTGAACTAAAATATATAAATAAAATTTGATTATTTTAGAGAACTTGTGAAAATAAGATAAAAAAACTTTATGAACAAAATCATAAATTGTTTTCATAAGTTCTTTTAAACAAATAGTCACACAATTTATGTTAATAAATAATTTAAAATAAGTCAACTTAAAATAAGTCAATGCAAATAAATTTATAGTCGCATTGGTCTTTTAGTTTGTTAATCTATTTAAACTTTATTTGAATGACTTACTTACACGTATCTAAAATAAATAGGCTTTTATGTAGGTTAACAGGCTAACCAGACTTTTGAAATGGTCAGATTCAGACCTAAAGATAAGCCTATGACAGACTACAAGTCAGACTTAGGCTTCCGTTTTTTTGGCATATCAGACTTAGGTTTGACAAAGTCTAGCTCGACCCAACCTATTTTCACCCATACTCACAATCATTGCACTCACAACAAATTATTTTTTTGTTGAATAAATTATGGGGGTAAGGAGTTCTTCTCCTCATTCTCCTTTTTCTTTCTCGGTTACACTTGAATTTTCAGCTATAAGAAAATCAGCAGAGAATGTCAAAATGAAAAGATAATTACTGTTAGAAGACATTAATAAATTATTTAAGTGCATTATTGACGAAACATCAACAAGGTATCAATCAAGGTGTCGACGAAGAAAGACATGGTCTGGAGGAATTTCAGAAACAAATCTACAAGATTAAGATCATCTCGAAACATGTCCATCATCTCGAAAATGGCAGTCGACCAGGCCTTCACAGCAACAAATATACCAATCAACTGAACTTCGAAAGGTTAAAGACTTACTAATTTTACAAGTTCAAAGTATTGTGTAAGTAACGTCGACAACAAGTCGAGTAGTTATTATCAGAAGTTTGTGGGGAAGTTTGAAGTAGTTATAACTCAATATGGGTTGTGACAAAAAAATCGTGGGTAAACGTAAACACACTAGTAAGAATCTGAAGATGAAACGTGGAGTAAAACATAATAGTTTCATAGTGGATGGAACCGTCGTCAATATTTATTTTGTAAATAGAATAAATAGCAGACTTACATATTGTAACAAAGATCACAAAATTTAATACATACTCTCCATACCACTGGAGTACCCGAGTCAAATAGTGAAACATTGTGTGAGAAACATATATGTATCTGTGTCCAGTCTTTTCATTGTTTTCTTGTTTCCTTAAATGTAATATTTTCTTTTTCTTGCTTTCACTTTTACTCTTGTTTAATGTCATTTACTATATTTTACCTTGTCATTTATCACAACTTATCTTCATTTAAAGTTCATTTATGCACCGTTATCATGCTAACGACAACTGCATTCAATTTACACGCACGTGTGTTCACACAAACATTTGCACAAATTGATTTGGAGGTTTTTCAATTTAATCTCACTTGCTTTCTAAACTCGTGATTGACTACTAAAAATATCTTTAAATAAATTGGCACGCCCAGTGAGACCCTTTTGTGCATATATTTTTAATTTTGTTTGCAGAAAAAGGTGTCTTAAGTTTCTTTTGAACGATTTTCTCTACATAAAATTTATGAGTTTTAACGGTTTATGTTTTTGAGGAGTGGTAAGAAAATTTGCGAAATGTCTCGTAGAAATCAATCCTCTTCCCAGCTCCAAACCTTGGAGATCAACCGACCACAACAAGTGTAGGCAGTTATGGGATTCCAACTTTGGTTAAAGAAATGTCCATTATCATCAGCCAAATAGTATCAGAGACGGTACTGCCAGATGTGGTGGAGGCATTGCCGCACATTTTAGGAGACCAAATGCTTTCTTCCCTAAGTTTCAAGCTGCCTCAGAGAGAGCATTCGTATGGCATGCCAACTGCAAGGATGTCAGACATACACCCTAGTGCTTTAGTGTACTTAGACAATGAGATGGTTACGTCGTCGCCCTTTAATCCATATTGGGCCACATGATTCACTATGAGCAACTTTGGTCGAGCGGAACAACCGTTCAGAGGTATGGGATATTTTCCCCCAATTATGTTGCCTCTAACCAATAACTCTGTCCAAGACATGAGACAACAAATGGGCGGGAGTAACCATGATATGATCAACATCCTCACACAACAGATATGCACTGTATTTAACCCACTGATAGAAAACACGACCTAATGCTATCATCAATTGACACGACATATGGGTAGTGTAATACGATGGGAGAACTGACTTGGTGTTTTACATTTTATCGCAAGTGTTGCGGATAGCAAGAGTCACCACCAACTTTTCTTTTATCCAATAAAGGAAAGGTTGAAAAGAACAGAAAAGACCTTTCGAGAATTTTCTTGAGTTCGGGGGGTAGGTTATAAAAAGGGAAGGTGTTAGCACCCTTTTTATCCGTAGTTATCTACGGGCTCTTAATTGTTAGCTCACTTTGAAACGCTTTGTGTTTGTGCAAGTTTGAAAGATGTTTTAAAGATATTTTGAAAGTGGTGATTTTATAATGATTCTCGTATCGTTGAGAATGTATACAAAATGTTTGTTTTGGAAATATTTTGAAAACGCCTTAGTACAACAAACTCTGTAATGATTCTTGTATCGCTGAGAACGCATACAAAGTGTTTGTTTTGAAAATATTTGTTTGAAAAGAGAGTGTTTGAAAAAACGTTTGTTTTCGAAAGTGTGAGGTGTAAAAATGGTTTTGTGAGCAAGCAATTACGAGTAATCTATCTACTCAAAAAGTCTATGTTCTTTTCCTCCTCCTTTAGATAGTGATACTTTACCATTGGTTGATAAGGAGCCATATCATTGGATGTGAGGGACAAGCTTGGGTCGTCGTACAGTCATAGAAGGCAACTTGTAAGATGTTTTAGCAATTGTCGTTAGGGACTAAGATCATTTATCAAAGGCAACATTGAAGGGTCATCGAGGGACTACGATCTTTTAATCGATGGTATTTTGCTAAAACATCTCACGTTCGAGGGACATGACTATTTTTATCCGAGGCAACAAGTGTGAGTTACCCTAGAGGTGCATGTGTGCAAAATGTTTGATTTCAAATACTTTATCTCTGAATTAGAGTTTTGCTATGGTTGAATTTTAGTCTTGTCATGCAAACCCTAATTACTAACAATAATAAGGAAAACGATAAATTGCGGAAATTAAATGTTCTACGCTATTACAACGCTTTGAGAATATGGGGGGGGGGGGGGGGGGGGGTACACGTTTGTAAATGAGCGGAGGAAAGCAATAAAACCCTAATTACTATTACAAACCATTGAATATGAATTACAATAACAATTATGTACAAAATATAAAGATGAAGAAGAAAAGGAAATTATTTTTAGGGTTTTTGATGAGAAAAAGGTTTTAGTAATTACCCTAATTAGACAAATTAATTTTATTTATAAAAAAAGTTAATTAATTATTTAACAAAACCTAAAATCTTAGTTAGTTTGAAATCAAGAAGAAAAATAAATCTAAGTCTAATAATTTTGTTTAGAAAATAATTTGAATGTTAATACTAATTTGTAAAAGTAATAGAATTTAATTTAATAAAATAAAATAAAATGCCTAAATTAAAATATTTTTAATTTAACTAAGAAAATATATTTTTTGTATTTTTGGTTAAAATAAAATAAATAAATAAATGTAAATAAAGAAAATATAAAAGAACTAGTTATAATTGGGCTGGGTGTTAAAAAGTAATTGGGAGGTGAAAAAGAAAATCAGGCGCTGGGACCAAAAAGTCAATTTTTGTTTGATGCTGAAAACAAATAAAAAAATGGAGTGGGCTAGGTTGTTCTTAGTAAAAAAGGGTGTATGAATGCAAAAACAAAGAATGAGGCCCAGACAGAAGTCCAACGCCTGCTAGATCCCATGTTGCTGGCTTATTGTGATGTACCAAGGACCTACTCATGTGGAGTGTTGGATTTATCATTGTGATGATCAAATGACATTGATGTGAAGCTTCAAGGTGAGCGCGCATGGCTTGATGCACTGAATCTACAAGGAAAATATGAAAAAAAAAAGGGTACCACTGGGG